CCAGAACATCTTAGTAAACATCTAGAAACACCCCGGCAACCCAGAACATCTTAGTAAACATCTAGAAACACCCCGGCAACCCAGTAAACATCTAGAAATACCCCGGCAACCCAGAACATCTTAATAAACGTCTAGAAATACCCCGGCAACCCAGAACATCTTAGTAAACACCCCGGCAACCCAGAACATCTTAATAAACATCTAGAAATACCCCGGCAACCCAGAACATCTTCGTAAATGTCTAGAAACACCCCGGCAACCCAGAACATCTTAGTAAACATCTAGAAACACTTCAGCAACTCAGAACATCTTAGTAAACATCTAGAGCATGAACAATTCCACACTGGCTTCACTGTAAACAGTTTTTATTTAAACAACAGACACAAGACATTTACATCAATGCTCATCATGTTTGTTATCAGACATAAACAATCATCTAGAGTCGATGTGAGCTGGATCATCTCAGGTCCATGAAGAGGAAGATGGTGGAGCGCTTTGAGCCTCTGATTCATTGAGCAACACGCTTTGAGTCGTGCTCGAGTGGTTTTGGGCTGCATGTCTCTCGAGGACAAATGTTTGCTTGTTCTTTCGGCAGTTTGTGTGAATAACTCAGTCTTACGCTGCATGATTCAGCAACTATTGCTGCTGAGGGAGCTGGTGTGAGCAGAGAATAAATAAACCAACCGTTTCCCTTGGATTATGTACATGTTAAAGGGTTAGTTCACCCAAAAATTATAATTCTGTTATTAATTACTCACCCTCACATCGTTCCAAATCCGTAAGACCTTCGTTCATCTTCGGAACTCAAATTAAGATATTTTTGATGGAATCCGAGAGCTCTCTGACCTTCCATAGACAGCAAGGTAACTACCACGATCAACGCACAGAAACGTAGCAAGGAAATGCTGTTTATGTTCAGGATAAAATGCACATTTAATTCAATGCAACGGAAAGGGATTAATTATTTGGATTTTCTGAAGGACCAGGACTGGGTACTGACGTCTTGCAGATGGTTAGAGGAAGCACAATCTGTACTCACTATCATTGTCTGCTATTTAAATCTGGCAAAATTAACCTTCTATGCTATTATGACAAAAGCCTCGTCCTATATTTAGACCTCAAATCAAACAGACTGTAATTATCCTGAACATGCACTGTTCAAAATCTGGAATGTCTTGCATATCCTGTTAAACTACTAATTACATCTAAATAAAGATGCACAGGAACAGTCTGTGATGCAACCTCTAAATAAAGCATCTTATAAATAACAATAAAGCATAATGAATGATGCATTTATATAGCGCTTTATTGTGTATTGCTGTACACCCAAAGCGCTTTAAAAATACAACAACCAGCGGTTAACCTTTCAAATCTTTACCTGCTGTAAGATGTGAGCATTGTTGTCATATTTATGCAGTATTTGATATCTTCATTGGCTGTCCGGTGTAAATAACCTACGTCACGGATGTTGCTTGTAATTTCTGCAGGGTTATTACAGTTTAGAAAAAGTCATACTTAAAAAAAGCTAGTTGCCAAGGCAGTATTTATCATTTTCATTTAGTTTAACTTGATGCATTAAAGTTACTAAAAATAAAACTAAATAACAGTTAATAAAAAAGCAAAATATATACAAAATATAGACATATTTAAATAAAAAAACAGCTAATAAAATTGATAAAAACACATCAAAATTACTCAAATTTTAACTAATTTAAAATTATAACAAAAAAATAAAAAGTAATATTTCAATGATACTAAAATATTATTGCATCTCTATAGGGTCATGTTACAAAAAACATTTATAGATTAAATTCGTGAAAATTGTATGAAAAATTCTGCAAAAACAGTAAAACAGTTATGAGGCTCAAAACAAATAAACAGAAAAATTAACATACAAAAATATCAAGGTGTTGAAACTGTAGAGAAACTGTAAATCATAAATTGCACAAAATTACAACACAAAAAAAAAAAAATCATCAACATCTCTATAGTTGTACATACGCATATACATTGATATTGTGCATATCTCTGTCCATCCAAGCATTAAAAACTGTTCATACACACTTCATGAATGACTAATAATAACTAATGAGATCATGCTGGAAAGATCAAAACAACTACCAAAATAAGTCAGAAAATTCCAATTCTAAAATGTTAATTCAATCAGTAGCACATGGTGCCTGCAACACAAGGTCATGGGTTCGATTCCCAGTGAATGCATGAACTCTATACCTAAAATGCAACGCAAGTCACTTTGGATAAAAGCATCTGCCAAATGCATCAACGGTAATCACATTTTACAAATTCATTAGCATTATTTCATAATAGCAGCAGTCTAACACGACGCTTTGAAAATGAAATGGCATTTTTACATGAGGAAATCTGAATGTTTACTCTGAGGTTTCTGTGTGCTGTGATTTGTTAATGCGTTGTGTTAAAGCATAATGAGCAGCGCTGATATGAAGACATTCTTCATCTTAATCTGCGAGCAGCAGCGTGAATGAGCCAGAATGATTGGAAAAGTTGCATGAATTATGGACGCTTGATCAAAATATCATCACGATTATTTTAGTCAATATTCAGATCACAACTATTTAGCACGATTACTCATTGACTTTAGAAACATGCATTCATTGAACATAGAAAAAACTTGACTATTACTTGATTAAACTTAATTATAATTCAACTAAAAAATACATGAGCTTAAGACGTGAGCTTAAATCTCTCTCTCTATATATATTCTTTTTCTCAGAATTTTGATTTAACTACACTCACACTGTTGAATGAGAATAAAGCTTGGATTAAACTGAATCAACATTGATCTGACTAATGGCTCTATTGTCTTCTGTAGAGCTGATTTACAGCTGAAATTTATTTTTTTCATAATTGATTAATTCTACTGTTTATTACTGTAAAGCTGCTTTGATCTGAATTGTATAAAGCGCTATAGAAATAAATGTGACTTGACAATTAAATAATAATAACATTAAACAGTTAAATAAGATCAACTACTTGTGATGCACTGCCACAACCTACAGAAACCTACTGAACAAGATCATCACGGGAAATGCAATGCAATATAATAATCGCTTCAATTCAAAATATAAAATTATTGATTCAAGCCAAAAAAACAAAACAAAAAAAAATTAAAATAAAGTCTGATTAATTGCCCAGTCCTAGCATGAAACAGGGAAGTTCAGGACCACAAATCTGTGTCTGTAGAAAGTCTGGAACGGGATTCACAAAACCGATTGGGTGTGAACATCAGGCATGTTTCAGCACCACGGACAGCTCCAGAAGAACGGTCAGCATTCCCACAATTCCCTGCCAGAGCAGCTGACGAGAGCATCAGTGCCCATCAGATGACCCAAATTAACCTGGACTTCATTCTGCAAAACTCAATGATTAACTAAAGCAATAAGCCCCAAGAAGCCGTGGTTTACAGTGATTTTATAACAGCTAGGGGGCGTTGTTAGGCACTTTTATAAATTCACTGTAAACCACGGCTTCACGGGGCTTATTGCTGTTATAAAACGGTTATTCCATATACGTAGTAAGGTTTCACAAAATAAAACAGAGCAAATAAAGTGTAATGATATTAATAAAAACAGTATTCTTCCACCAAACAATGTAGCTCCTCAGAAACAGTTGTGGTTGCTACAAAGTGGTTGCCGAGCAACACACAGAAGTAAACAAAGATGTATGTTACTTTGTAGAGTAATTTACAACAGCTTCGAACGCAGCTCGGCCAATCAGAATCAAGCACCGGAACTCTCTGCTTTATAATAGTAGTTTTAAATTCTTAAGGAAATGTGGTTGGCGTTTGCCTGTCCAAAAGCCATCACTATAATGCTAGCGTGTAGAAATTAAGCTGTAAATATGAGGGTTTAGTCAAGTGTAAGGTAAAATAGAATTATAGTATTTGTATTATTTTACTTAAATAGTCATTTTTTATTTCTTAGTGAAATGTTGCAATAGGAATATTTCTTTTGCTTTTATTTAGTAATTTTAATATTTTTATGTAATAATAATCATTTTAGCCATATTGATATATATAATCCTAAATATAAATATATAGCCAAAATGTTGGCTAAACTGTGCGGCTCTACAAACAAGCACAGCAACCCTGGAATTATTTATAAAATCACATTGTAAATTGTGATTGCAATTTTTATCAGAAATTTTTTTCTCAAACCATGCAGCTCTACTAAAGTGTTACATGCAGATGCCAGGGCACTGCTAACCGGTTGCTAGGGTGTTGTGTGTGGTTGCTAGGAGGTTGCTTACAGTCTTGTGGTCTGTAAATGCAGCTTGGGTTGCTCCTTCAGTGTGCGTCTGTGGGGTTTGTTCACGTGTTTATCCCTGGGAAAGCATGTGGTGATGTTTTCACTCAGGTCAGCTCTGAACAAACCTCCTCGGGCTCGTCAACAAAAGCAAAAAATAGATGAGAAGAGAAATGTGAAAAAGACCTCAGCAGTTCATCACAACACTCTAAAAGAGTTAAGAGTAAACCGATGGACTGGATTCACTCTGAGGTCCAGATCAGGGTTATTATAGTTTACTAAAACCATCAAAAAATTTGTTAAATAAAATCATGAAGATATTTAGTAAATTTCCTACCATAAATATATCAAAACTTAATTTTTGATTAGTAATATGCATTGCTAAGAACTTCATTTGGACAACTTTAAAGATGATTTTCTCAATATTTAGTTTTTTTGCACCCTCAGATTCCAGATTTTCAAATATTGTCCTTTCCTAACAAACCATACATCAATGGAAAGCTTATTTATTCAGCTTTCAGATGATGTATAAATCTCAGTTTCGAAAAATTGACACTTAAGACTTTGTGATCCAGGGTCACAAATATCTAACTAACTTCAACTTGAACTAAAATAACTAAAACTGAAATAAAAAATACTTATTTTATTTTTTAATTATTTCTATCTATTAAAAATGCAAAAAAATACAGAAATTTTTTAAATAAAATGAAAAAGGCTAAATCTAAAAATAAAAACTTGTTAATAATAGAATTCATATGTCATAATAATTCATAAAATATTATAAAAAAATGTAAGAGTATGTCAATGACACTAAAATAACACTGGCCCTGATTTACATAATAATAAGCTGGAGTGAGTGAAATTAAGGATTATGTTTTTCATTTATTCTCTGACTCAGCTCATGTTCGCAGACGGTTTAAAATCGCTGTATGAGAGCAGCAAGCGGCCCATTACTGTCACTCTCTCCACTAAACATCATGTAATGATCTGCTGAACACCGCAGCATTAGACTGCCGTCATGGGCTCTTTCAGCCATTTCTCTTGTTTGTATTGCACAAATACAGTATGTGTAATGTTATAATCTATCACTATCTGACAGTTGGATGCCAGTCAGTCTCGTCTGTACTGATGGTGAACGCATTGCTAAATCATGGAGCTGTGGTGAATCTGAGCCGGTCTCAGCAGGATTACCTCTAATCTGAATCTCCCGCGTTCATTCGCTGCTTTAATCCCACGCTCCACAACAACAGTCCACCTCATTCGCTTCAGACTGTAAGAGAGAGAGAGAGAGAGAGAGAGAGAGTCGCATCTCTTTGTCCTCCTCTGCGTCTCCTCCACGGGGAAACACACACACACACTGCTGCTGCTGTTATTATGGGATGTTCCTGAGCCACACAGCTGCAGGGATGCGAGTGTTTTGGTGAATCTCATGACGAAACGTCCGGGTCAAATTTCTTTTTTTATTATTCTAGGCGGCTGTAATATGACCTGTTTTATAAATATACAGCACTCAGATCTCAGGGATCATGTTTTTTTCCATCTCTGGCCCAAAGCACATCACATTATTGACAATATTTGTTCTGCAAATACTGCATGTTCTCAGACCGAAAGATTTTAAAAAATGCATCAAATTAAATCTAATTCAGGTAGAATTCATTATATTTAGCATCTTTACTGCAGTTGAATGTTTAATACAGAAATGAGCGATAGATTCACACTACAGAGCATAAAACTAAGCATTTTAAGTAATATTTAATCTTAAACTCTTTTTAATAGCTGGTACTTAAAATAAAGTAAACTAACTTATTTTAGTATCACTGATATGCTAATATAGTTTGTTGAATTAGATGTTATTTACATTTTCTGTTTTCATTAAAGTTGTAGTGATTTTGTTGTTTTTGTCATTTTTATTAGTTTTTGTTTTTTCAAAGGTCTATATGGTATTCATTAATTTTTATTTAATAGGTTTAGTTATTTTAATGCTTCAACTTAAACTAAACGAAAATGAGAAATGTTGCCTTAGCAACTAGCTAAAATACAATTTAAAAAATGCATCAAATTAAACCTACTTTAAGGAGAATTTATTATATTTAAGCAATTAAAATATAATGTTGAAATGCAAATGGGCTGATATTAAATGTGACCCTGCAGCACAAAAGCAGTGTTAAGTCGCTGGGGTATATTTGTAGCAATAGCCAACAATACATTGTATGGGTCAAAATTATACATTTTTCTTTTATGCCAAATATCATTAGGATATTAAGTAAAGATCATGTTCCATGAAGATATTTTGTTCTAAGAACTTCATTTGGACAACTTTAAAGATGATTTTCTCAATATTTAGATTTTTTTGCACCCTCAGATTCCATTTTTTCAAATAGTTGCATCTCAGCCAAATATTGTCCTATCCTAACAAACCATACATCAACTAAACAATATTCATGTATCATCAGATTGTTTGGTGTCAGTAAGCGAGTGTTAGAATCAGATGCATGTCCTGGTTTGACCCCAGAGCGCTTCAGTGTTTGCTGTGATGCTCACTCACCTCGCTGTCCTTCTGTTGCACAGGGATTTTCTCCCGCGCGGCTCTGGCATCGTCACACGCCGTCCGCTCGTCCTGCAGCTCATCAACTGCCCCACAGGTGAGCCGTCTGATCAGGTGCTTCTCGTCTGCAGAAACACATCAGATGCCTTTGCAATCACACGATTCACTCAGTGCTGCCAACTCATGTTTCAGGTTGATTTGTTGCTAAATGACATTGTGATGTCATTGCATGATGATGTCATTACGTAATCGCGATGCAAAATTGTCATATATCAGCAAAAGAATATATTTTATATATGTTCATTTAGATTTGTTCGTAAAATTATAAATGCATGATATTAAAATCAGTGCATCCAAATTAAAAGTTTTTGTTTGCATAATATATGTGTGTGTACTGTGTATATTTATTATGTATATATAAATACACACACATGCATTATATATTTTGAAAATATTTACATGTATATATTTATATTCATATAATGTATATTGTAAATAAATATATTTAACATAAAAAAAATTCTGAAATATATACATGCATGTGTGTGTATTTATATATGCATAATAAATATACACAGTACACACACATATATTATGTAAACATTAATCGCGATTAATCGTTTGACAGCACTAATTAAAATATAAGTAACTATTTTTAAATACATTGAATTATTGAAAACCTACACATTTTTGAACAATTACAATTTAAGTTTTTTTTATTACCCGGTAAACAAATAAAACTTCACATTCTGAACAATTATACTTTTAAGCGGTGTATTAGTAGTTAGTTAGTATGCTACACTCTAAGAAAAGTCTGTAAAAATAGGGCACCATCTACTATGTTAATATGTATAATAATCTATCTGTGCTAATATGGAGGAATTTTCCGTATAGATTTTTTTTACAGGTTTTTTTACCTGCATTTTTAATTTCGCATCATATTTGGTGTTTTGGGACGTTTTACTACGGATAATAGATAACAGATAATGTCCTGGAAACTTACTAGTATCTTTTCCATTTTTAGATATTTTTCTTACAGTGTACTAACTGATCACTACTAACAAGGTGCATCATAAATGAACAATTATTCAATATTAATATTAAATTAAACAATTGCATGAAATGCAATATGAGCCAGAAAAGCCTGAAGGATCAAATATGATGCTTAATAAAAACACACACGCAATGTTTTTTTTTTAATTGTAAAATATTTTGTCTAAAGGTTCAGTAAACTCTTATATTTCATATGTCAGGCTTTCGCGTTCAGGTGATCAGTTTTTACTGTAACGATGTGTTTTATAACGTTTCCTCTCAGAATATGCTGAGTTCCTCCACTGTAAGGGGAAGAAGTTCACGGATTTCGATGAGGTGCGTCAGGAGATCGAGGCGGAGACGGATCGAGCCACAGGCCAGAATAAAGGCATCTCTCCCGTGCCCATCAACCTGCGCGTCTACTCGCCTAACGGTCAGATTAATATTCATTAACAAAGCTCCACAAACTTCACAGCATCAGATATTCTCAGTTTCAGTGTATTCTTGCACTGTGAAAAATAAAGAGTTCAGAAAACGTAAAAAATAAATAAGGCAACTTGATACAGTAAGACTTTAGTAAGTCTTCTCAGTAAAGATACTTTGTTTAGCCAACGTAAATTTGTTTGTTCATGCAATGCTGATCGTCTTATTTTGCTAATAGAAAAATTATTGTCACAGCAACTGAAACGATAGTTACTGTCCTTGAGGTAATTAATTTATTTCTGTTTCCTGGATGAAAAGAAATGTGTTAAAATTCACCACATTATTAATTTTATGTTTATTTACAAATGACCAAACAGTGAATTGTTATAGAAACCTTAATGGATAACTTAGTCTAATATGTGACCCCGGAGCACAAAACCAGTCATAAGGGTCAATTTTTCGAAATTGAGATGTATGCATCATCTGAAAGCTGAATAAATAATCTTTCCATTGATGTATGGTTTGTTAGGATAGGACAATATTTGGCTGAGATACAACTATTTGAAAATCTGGAATCTGAGGGTGCAAAAAAATCTAAATATTGAGAAAATCATCTTTAAAGTTGTCCAAATGAAGTTCTTAGCAATGCATATTACTAATCAAAAATTAAGTTTTGATATATTTACGGTAGGAAATGTACAATATATCTTCATGGAACATGATCTTTACTTAATATCCTAATGATTTTTGGCATAAAAGAAAAATGTATAATTTTGACCCATACAATGTATTGTTGGCTATTGCTACAAATATACCCCAGCGACTTAAGACTGCTTTTGTGCTCCAGGGACACATATTTACTGTAGACAACATTGTCTTTGCTTATAAAACATCTTACAAGACTAATATTATATACATTTCTGATCATACTCTAGGCCTCAAAACTAGACACACAAACCTCAAGAACGCTGGCAATCAGCAAATGTTAAAAAGATGATCTCTTTACATCACAGTACTATCACAAATAACTAACCAGAATGACAAAACAACAAAAAAAAAGTTGAAACGAAGGCAGCAAACAGCAAAACAATAATCGTATAACAGTAACCGCATAATTTATTCATGCTGGGAACTCACAGAGCCTTCAACAATATGAAATTCTTTGTTCAGACGACTGTGTTTGACTAGTTGGGACAACATTTGGGGTAATTTTGTTAGTCTGACAAGTGTTTTTATGTAGTTTCAATAAAATAGCATTTTTAAGTATTTGAGACTCAATGGTCTTGTCCCGGGGGCCGTCTAGGAGACAAGGTCTTCACTGGGGATCAGTGGGGAAAAGGTTTTGTGAACTGGAAATATGCAGTTGCTGGTATGAATGGTGATCTGGTCTGGCTGTGTGTTTTGTGCGCAGTGCTGAACCTGACTCTGGTGGATCTGCCGGGAATGACTAAAGTGCCGGTGGGAGATCAGCCTGCAGACATCGAGCAGCAGATCAGAGACATGCTGATGCAGTTTGTGACCAAAGACAACTGCCTGCTGCTGGCCGTGTCGCCCGCTAACTCCGATCTGGCCAACTCTGACGCCCTGAAGATCGCCAAAGTCGACCCGCAGGGTGCGTGCGATCTGTAACACACATTAACTGCTCTGATCGTGTCCACAAATGCTGTTGTGCTCAAATGCAGATTGTTTGTGTGACAGACACTGACGTAAATTGGTAAAAAACTCAACCAAAAAATACATTATTCTGTATTAAGCCCACCCATACCACAAAAGAGAAAATCATCTTTAAAGTTGTCCAAATGAAGTTCTTAGCAATGCATATTACTAATCAAAAATTAAGTTTAGATATATTTACGGTAGGAAATTTACAAAATATCTTCATGGAGCATGATCTTTACTTAATATCCTAATGATTTTTGGCATAAAAGAAAAATGTATAATTGTGACCCATACAATGTATTGTTGGTTATTGCTACAAATATACCCCAGCGACTTAACACTGCTTTTGTGCTCCAGGGACACATATATATTTGCTAAAATATGTTTCAAAATATATTTACGTAAATATATTTTCTACTATTTTTTCTGGCCATTTCTTTGTATATTTTTGAAAATATATGTTAAATGTATAAATATATATTTTTTAAAGCATTTAAAAATATAGATTTGCCCTCTACATATTTCAGTCCAAGAAAATGCATTCACATACAGTATGTCACACTTGAAGAAAAACTTGATTTGTCGTCTATAACGTGTGAGAACATATAACACATTTTACTAAGCTTCAGCAAGGAACATAATTTAAAATGCTCCAAAAATGCAATGTGTAAAAATATTAAACACTACTAAATCATTATGAATCTATTTTTGATCTCTAGTAGGCCATCCACATTTGTATTTAGCCTAAATGTACTTACTGTAAGACAGGAAATGTATTTTCTTGCCCCTGAAATACATTTAGAAACATATTTTGGTATATGAAGATTGAATCTAAATGCATTTTCTATTTCAAAAATAAATTTAATTGAACTTCACTGTTTATATTTAGCATATATTTCAAATATATTCTGGCCACAATTTTTTTGAGCACCATCATATTAATTAGCAGGGTATCTGAAGGTTTTATTACAGTAAATTCAAGATGTTTTAAGACCGAATGAAGAAAATCTAAGGAAAAAATTGAATGGAAAACAATAGGTCTCTAAATGTAAAGTTTGAAAATACCGCTTATATATACTGTAACTTCTACTGTACCTTCTGATGTTCTTCCTCAGTATCTTTCTCTTGTTTTCCAGTGCAAATATCTAAAGATTCTTAAACCAAGATGCTTTTACAAAATAAGAAGTCTTGTTTTCTGAGAAACTGATCAAAGTAAAGTGAGTTTATGATTAAAACAAGAACAAATATCTGACTATAAAGTCAGAAAAATCAACTTAATTCAAAGGATGCATAAACTTTCATTTTGTTTAATTTCTCAGAAAACAAGACTTCATATCTTCATTTTGCATCTCCAGTAAATGTATCTTGATTTAAGGATGTTTAGATATTTGTACTGGAAAACAAGAGAAAGATTTTTTTTTTTGTAGTGTATACAATATTTAATGCCATTACTTTATGAATTTAAGACTTTCAGCTCTGATTTAAGACCCTTTTGAGGCCTTAATTTGTGAAAATGGGATGGGATCATCAGCAAAACATAAACAAAACAAACTGTACGCAGCTTTAAGCTCATTTGACCCTGTGTGCTGTTTTCAGACAGGTTCACATCAAACCGTGCTTGTGCTCTTACATGCGTTCTGTGTTTGTGTGTGCGAGCAGGTCTGCGGACCATCGGTGTGATCACTAAACTCGATCTAATGGATGAAGGGACCGACGCTCGGGAAATCCTGGAAAACAAGCTGCTGCCGCTGCGGAGAGGTGAGGATCTTTATGAAAACATGCTAACAGATAATCACGCTCTCAGTTGTGTGCTGTGACAGTAATGCACTCAAAATCCCATTTCTTCAAATCACACATACTTCACAACCGTTTCTATTGCTTTGTTTTATGCAGAAAAACTGTGCCAGACACTTATTTTCCTCATTCATCATAAATTTATTATTTTAATTATATTTAATTTATAAGAATAATTGTAAGTTATTTTAATTAAAATAAAATAAAAAGTTCTGATTTGATGTCCCAAAAAATGTACATTAATATTGCAATAATTTAACAACGCATTTGCATGTTCATGACAATTCTCTAATGTTGGATAATAGTCACGAGACATGCACGAAAACAAATAAAATATTTAATTTTTTAGCAAGTGTTTTATTTTGATTTTCTAAAATTGCTTATTTAAAATTTTACATATTTTTTCAATTTAAATTTAGATTTAATTAACAAACTTGATTGAGGGTTGTGGGCAAAAAGTAAATACTGCATTATATCCAACTATATTTTATTAAAATATATAAAATTATTATTTTTGTAATAATAATGAAATATTTTTTTTTTTTTTAGTTTTTACATTTATGCAAAAATAAATACATAAATAAAAATGTATATTAATAAAAATATATAATTTTTTTCTGTGCTTTTTAGGGAAATGTAAAAAGAAACTACAGCTACTAGTAACTTTGTACTCATACTAGTAACTATGTTATTTTGGTTTACTGTGGTAAAGTACTGCACAGCTTTAACAGAATCACTGGAGTAGTTCCACGATCAAACATCATCTCTCTGTTTCCCTCTAGTGGAGTAACGTCTGTGTTTCTCACCGCTGCAGCATGTGAGCAGAAAGAGAGAATACGAGAATATGTCTTCATTTCATTGCCACATCTGGAAAAAACGTTGTTTTCTTTCTTTGCTGGGCAATAAAGGATATTTATGGGAAAGTGTGCTGCAGTGTGCTGACGCACCGGTTTTCCACTCGCAGCTCACGTCCACACTTCAGGTTTTCCCATCGAACGCGTCTTCAGCTCGTCTTCCACTCGTGTAAGTGGAACACACTTGAGACGGATCCTGGCTTTCAGACGCTCGAGCCACGTCACTGGAATGAGAGATTTAAGCGTTTAACCTCTTAACCCAGACATGTGTCTTTCTTTTTCACTCTCTTTTTATATTTGTACCTCACTCGCAAAACAAAAAAACATGTCATGTAACTCACAGGAACAGAGAAATCACAATTGTGACCCTGCAGCACAAAAGCAGTGTTAAGTCGCTGGGGTATATTTGTAGCAATAGCCAAAAATACATTGTATGGGTCAAAATTATACATTTTTCTTTTATGCCAAAAATCATTAGGATATGAAGTAAAGATCATGTTCCATGAAGATATTTAGTAAATTTCCTACCGTAAATATATCAAAACTGAACTTTTGATTATTAACATGCATTGCTAAGAACTTAATTTGGATGTTGTACACAGAAGCAGCTCCAGGCGGATGACGTATGAGGTCAGCTTTGCACCGCTTTCAATCTCAATTTAAAAAAATGGACCCTTATGACTGGTTTCGTGGTCCAGGGTCACAAATGACTTTCTTTGATTATTTACAGTGCTCATAATAAAGCCTGCAATCAGAGATCTCAGCATGAACTCGAACGTTTCTCACCCAATTATACCGAGATCAAATGATTTGAGCTGCAGTCACTTGTACTCTTGCTTTACCCATCTAACGCTGATGTGTTTGTCTGCCTGCAGGTTACATGGGTGTGGTGAACCGCAGCCAGAAAGACATCGGCGGGAAGAAGGATATTAACGCTGCTATGGCGGCGGAGAGGAAGTTTTTCCTGTCTCATTCCAGTTACAGACACCTGGCCAACCGCATGGGAACGCCGTTCCTGCAGAAAACCCTCAACCAGGTGAGAATGTAACAGGTGAAATGTGTAAACATCAACCTAAACTCTCTGTCTGGTTTGTTTCGGCCACATACACACAGCAGAGTTTTAAAAATAACAACTGTATTTCAGTAGATGAACTACAGCACCTGCAGGATAAAGCTGTGGGGACGGAGTGAGGAAACGCCAAACTCATGAATATTAATTAGGCTGGATACAAATAATGATACATGATCTTTTATTGTTATGAGAAATAATGTCTTTGCACGCCACAGAGCATCTAAAGATTTGTAAATCACTGGATAAATGTATAAATCACCATAGTAAACACGATTTATTTATTGCTTGAAAATAATCAAGAAAAATATGACTTCGTAGCGTTTCACAACTCTACAGATTCGATATTAAAAAGCAACACGATTTAAAAAAGAAAGGATGTGAACAAGAAACATGGAAGCTAGTAGACAGATATTACAGACGTCGACAAACACGAAAAATGACAGGTAACTCAGTAGAACAGTTCTGTTTTGTTCATATTACACATCATTACAAAGTGTTTTTGTTCTATATTACCAGGGTTGGGAGGGTTACTTTTAAAATGTATTCCGTTACAGTTACAAATTACTTCATTAAAAAAGTATTCAGTAACATAATCCAAGTACCACAATATAAAAGTAATGTAATCTGATTACTCTTGGATTACTTCAAGTTAAAATAAATATGATATTTCTGAAGAAAATCGCTTGAAATCTATATTTATTATCAATGGACATGTACCCTAAATTATAGAATGACCCTCATATACTTATTGTTTTGATACATTGTTTTGTATTTTGATTTGGTTGATACATAACAATAAAGTTTTGTAAACTTGTGAATGTAGTGTTGATGTTTATCATAATACTGAATAATATTTATGCACTTAAAAGATCCTTAAAAGAATACCATGGTTTCTATTATTAAAATTATTCTATTCTATTCTATTCTTAAAAAATATGGTATAACATTAGTACTTTTTGTTACCACTGTATACATTACATTAGTACATTAATACATGTGACCATGGACCACAAAACCAGTCATAAGGGTCAATTTGAGATTTTTTAAATAAATAATCTTTCCATTGATGTATGGTTTGTTAGGATAGGACAATATTTGAAAATCTGGAATCTGAGGGTGCAAAAAAATCTAAATATTGAGAAAATCATCTTTAAAGTTGTTCAAATTAAGTTCTTAGCAATGCATATTACTAATCAAAAATTAAGTTTTGATATATTTACGGTAGGAAATTTACTAAATATCTTCATGGAACATGATCTTTACTTAATATCCTAATGATTTTTGGCATAAAAGAAGAATGTATAATTGTGACCCATACAATGTATTGTTGGGTATTGCTACAAATATACCCCAGCGACTTAACACTGCTTTTGTGCTCCAGGGTCACATATATTGTTTTATATTTTGCAAAGCACTTTGAGAAGTAACGTTTAACAGCGCTGTATAACAGTAAAGTTTACTATCATTATTGTAGGAATGAATCTTCAACCTTCAGTCTGATTGTCTTCAACTTCATCTCTGTTTTCTCTTCTCTGTTCTGCAGCAACTGACCAATCACATCCGTGACACGCTCCCTGCGCTGCGCGCTAAACTGCAGAGCCAGCTGCTGTCCATCGAGAAGGAAGTGGAGGAATACAAGAACTTCCGTCCGGACGATCCGTCTCGGAAGACCAAAGCCCTGCTGCAGTCAGTCAATCACATTCACCGTCTCTGCGTGAACAAATGAAACTCAGATCCTCAGGCTCACTGAGACAGAACTACAGATGATGAATCCTCAGTGTATATATTGCTGGTTTCAGGATGGTGCAGCAGTTCTCTGTGGATTTCGAGAAGCGCATCGAGGGTTCTGGAGATCAGATAGACACGTATGAGCTGTCTGGAGGAGCCAGAATCAATCGCATCTTCCACGAGCAAAATGAAAACAATGGAAAAACCCTTAAGGTAACATGTAGAAAGAAAAAACGCATCTTAAGCACACAGAATAACATAAGTGGACTTTGAACGATTAATTGCCGCTTTGAACGATTACGGAATTGTGGCATCCATAATTGTAATTGCGATTAGAAATTCCATTAATTGTGCAGCCCTAGTTGAAACAGTTAAAAAAGAATAAATTGACACTTTTATTCATCAAGGAGGCATTAAATGAAATGAATGAGATGAAAAGTGTCAGTAAAGACATTTATAATGTTACAAATGATTTCTATTTTAAATAAATGCTGTTCTTTTGAACTTTCTATTCATCAAAGAATCCTAGAAAAAAATGA